ACTGTTTGGATAATGACAGCCAGTTTCACGGATATAGGGCGGGTGGTTTTCAAATTGTGGCTCTCGCCTTAGCGCCGCGCATATTCGTCTTTTCAAAGTTTGCAAGAGTTTAACGAGTGGCGGGCGGGTCGGTTTGAAAACGACACGCTCGCCTCAGCGACGCGCACATCCGTTGTAAAGTTTACAAGAGTTTCGCGGGGGGGGGCGGTGGGCGGTTCCGGCGGCTCCTTTTCAAAATGTGGCCCTCGCATTAGCGCCGCATACATTCGTCTCAAGAGTGCACAACAGGCTCAAGGAGTATTATGGCGAGCGTCCCAGACATGATGGTCTGACACGATGAAAGACTGTCAGGGCGCATCAGGTACGTTGATCCACGGTGCTGAAGTCCCACGAATGGCGCGCTGGCACGATTCAGGATTGCCGGGACGCAACAATCACGTTGACTCGCGGCGCTGAAATCCCATAAATGGTGTTCTGACACGGTTGAGGAGTTCAAAACGCTTGTCTTCCAACGGGGTGCTTCCCCCAGTGAAAATAAACCCTTGTAGGAACTATGGAGAAGGAACTTGGAGGGGGCGGTTATTGCCACGTCGTTGATGAGTCTTGGGTCTACACTGGTCCTCCTCGTCCTCCTCCTCATCTTCATCCTGAGCATCATCACGAACATCGTACGATTCATCATCATCATCATCATCAGCAGCAGCATCATCATCGTCATCATCATCATCATCATCATCGTCATCGTCATCCGCATCATCATCATCATCATCATCATCATCATCATCATCATCATCATCATCAGCTTCATCATCATCATCGTCATCATCTGATTCATCATTATCAGCAGCATCATTGTGATCACTATCATGGTGATTCTGACAGTGGTAACGAACACTGTTGTTAGATCACCATTAACAGCACAATATTACATCACCGTCATCGCCATAGCCATCAGCATCATCATGATCACCACCATCACCATGCTCACTATCATCACCAACGGCATCGTCAGTATGTTCCGTTACCAGCTTGGTTGTCATCATCGTCAGCAACACTGTCGTCGCCATCGTCGCAATCACACTCGTCATCATCATCATCATCGTCATCAGTATCATGATCATCGTCATCGTCCTCATCATCATCGTCATCATCATCGTGGACGTCGTCGTCTTCATCGTCATGGTCATGGGCATCGTCATCGTCATCGTCATCAACAGAAACATCATCATCCCCAGTACCCCCATATTCCTCATCCTGCCACTCCTCTCCCTGCATCCCCTCGTTCTCCTCATCCTCCCGCTAGGTTTTGCAAGCGACGTTCGAGACTTACGGATCTAAGACCGCTGGCGTAAGTAGTTGGCCCGTTTGGGGCCTGCGGTGGCTTCTGAGGTCAGCATCCAGGGCGGAACGAAAACAGAGAGGTAGTCCTCCTCATCTTTTTTCCCGTACAAAAAGGTAGTCCTCCTCATCTTGCTTATGTTGCACCAGGGGTTCTTAGAAGATTATGGCGTTTGTTTCTCCTCAGCGGCAGCGCAGGGCAAGCGAAATGCCACTGTGGTTCCCTCTCCAAGCGTGCCGCCGAGGATGCGTTCGACCGGAGAACCGACAGAGCAGACGAGGGCGCGGACAGAGAAAGGAGACCAAGGCGTTATGTGGTCATTACGATACGGTTGATACTCTCCTTCTCTCTCTCTCTCTTTCTCCCTCTTTCTCTCTCTCTCTCTCTCGCCAGCTCGCCAGCTCGCCGCGCGCCTTGCCCACGCGCTCCAGGGCGCTGCTCCACTGGGAGTCGGCCATCTCGACCGCCAGGCGCAGAGATGCGAGCCTCACCTGCAGGCGCGCACGGGGGAAGGACGCGGAAGCTGGGCAGGGTGTGGAGGCGGAAGAGGGGAGGACTGCGGCGACGAAAGCGGAAGAGGCGGGATCGGGAGGAGGCGGGGGATGAGGAGGATCAGCAGCAGAAGGAGGCAGATGAGGAGTTAGAGGTTAGAGTAGGAGGAGGAGGAGGAAGAGGAGTAGGAGGAGGAAGAGGAGGAGGAGGAGGAGGAGGAGGAGCAGGCGCAGGAGAAGGACGACGACGAGACCACCCGCGGTAGCCCGTCCCCTCCCCTACTCCCGTCGCCTCCCCGCCCCCTCCCCTCACCTCCCCTTCCCTTTCGTCACGCCCATCCCCTCGCATCCCGTCCTGCCCTCCATCCCCAGTGCCTCCCCCCGCTCCCTGCCCCGGGAGAAGCGACGACGGCAGATGCCGTCAACACACAGAGCCTCCGACGATACGGCTCTGTCAGAGTCGCTGGCCCGTGAGACTCCCGGGGGGGCCTCCCCCGTGACTGGCTGCCAGCCCTTCGTCCTGAGCCGCTCTCTGGCGGCCCTGGGGCCCAGACATGTGTTCTTTCTCTCTGCCGCCGGAGGTGCGGCCCCTCGAGGTCCCTGGAAGTCCCCGCGGACGCCTCTGGAGGTCCCTGGAGGCCTCTGGACGTCCAGAAACTGTCACCCTCGAACCTCGAGCCACCAAAGGCCTGAGGAGGACAATGCAATCTGAGAGGGAGGAGGGGGATCGGGAAGGAGGGGGAGGAGGGCGAGGAAGAGAAGGAAAGAGGAGGATCGGAAGAGAAGGGTCAAGAGGAGGAGGATCAAAATCGGGAGGAAGAGGGTCGGGCAGAGGAGGATCAGTTTGAGAAGGACGAAAGACCGGCACGACGCACGAGGAGAAGAAGGACCAGAGCATCCCCAGGATGCGTCACTGACTCTGCAGTGCAACCCGGCACCCCAAGTCTGGGAGGAGGAAAACAATGCAGATCAAGCTCTCTTGGCCCTCCTCATCCTCCCCCCCCTCCTTTCATGTTTTTTTTGTTCTGAGGAGGACGAGGGGGGGGAGGGCCAAGAGAGCTGGATCTGTGCTGCTACCCTCCTCTCCAAGCCCCCTCCGCGGAAGTCCTTGCAGGGATCCCTTTCATGCTGCGAGGAGCCCCTTCCGTGGGATAACGAGCTCCCCGCGGACCGGCCTGAGCGGGCCTGCCTCGGCAGGAGGACCGAGTGCAAAAAAAATGTCAAAAACGATGGCCCCCGTCTGAAAAGCAGGTGCCCTACGTCCGCGTGTTGTCGCCCGAAACAAAAGTGATACTATACCCCAAGTCCTCCTCCTCCTCCTCCTCCTCCTCCCCTCCTCTCCTCCACCTACCTCCTCTTCCTCCACCTCCTCCTCCCCCTCCTCCTCGTCCTCCTCGTCCTCCTCCTCGTCCTCCTCCTCCTCCTCCTCATCCTCCTCCTCCTCCTCCAAGCATGTGCCCTCCGTCAGTGTGTTGAGCCATCTCGTCTTCAACTGTGCAGACGGGAGTCTCTGGGCCGAACACCCTCCTGGGAAAGAGCCCCACCATCCGTCCGTGAAACCGATGCACAGCTTGGACCTTCTGCCCACAGCTACAGAGGAAATCTCAAACGAGAGCCGCACGTTGAAAAAGGAGATCCGCTGGCAGTGCTTTGCAGCAGGTGCGGCCGGTGCCGAGGCGAAAGCCGCAACACCCTCTCTGTCCCTCCGTGCAGATGCTGGAACCGCTTGGAAACTGACTACCTACCAGACCACCCCAACCCAACCCGAAGACCCGAATTGGACCATAATTTCGGGTTGGGGGGGGCCGGATTCCATGTGTTTTTTCAACGTTCCCCGACACCCCCCCACTGGAAATGGAAGACAAATTGGGGGCTTCGGGTTGGGTTGGGGTGGTTTGGTGGGTGGTGAGAAACGAGAGTGTGCGCGGCGCGCTGAGGCGAGAGTGGCATCTTGGACGAGTGGCATCTTGACAACTGCTGGCCGCCCATCCAAGACGAAGCCAGGACGTGGACGAATCGGGGTGCGGATGAATCGAGAACTTCTGAGAGATCCCGCGGCTATGGAGGATGCCTCGGGCGCCGTGACCTTCTCAGAGCGTTCTGGAACGCGCTGACAGTGTTCTGGAACGCTCTGGGACAGATTTGTCCTCGACCTAGTCCCCTCCGACCATCCGTGTATGTAATTGTTGACCAGGGGTGGCCTCCTCCTCCTCATCCTCCTCCTCCTCTTCCTCCTCCTCATCCTCCTCCTGCCATCTCCCTCCTCCTTCTCTTCCTCATCCACCTGTTCCTCCTCCGCCCTTCCCGTCTCCTTCTCCCGCTCCCCCTCTCATGATCCCTCCTCTAGGCACCCATATTTGGATATGACGACTTCCCCAGCCTTTTGTTCCACTGCATGCTCCTCCACATCGCTGGTCTGGATGGACTGGTGGGTTACGCGGAGCGTCAAGAATAGATATTCACCAGAAGCTGCCCTTAACGATTTCGCCTGTGCGCCCCACATTCAAAGCGTGACCCGTGCCCTCTTTGGACACCCCCGCACACATGAGAATATCTCACCCTCCTCTCAGCTTACGTTGCCCCCTATATTCGGAATTGTGGCCTGGATTTATGTGCGACGCCCCACCCCGCGCAAGAAGTAGAATAACAAAGAACATGATCACCAACGCCAGCTCACTTACGCGCTCAGAACATGATCGCCACCACCAGATCACCAGTAACTCATCATCATACGTAGCATCATCAGCATCATCGTCATCAGCATCATCATCACAATCATCAACATGATCATCGACAGCATCATCAGCACCATCAGCATCGCCATCATCATCAGCATCATCAACATCATCAGCATCATCAGCATCATCATCATCATCATCATCAGCAGCAGCAGCAGCATCATCAGTAGCAGCGCGTAGCATCAGCATCGTTATCATCAGTACCAGCATCGGCATCATCATCAGCAGCATCAGCATCATCACCACCGTTCAATAGGCGACACCATCATCAGCATTAACATCATCGGCACCATCGTCATCAGCAACAGCATCAACAGCATCATCATTAGAATCATCATCATCGTCGTCGGCATCGTCATCGTCATCATCATCGGAATCATCAGCATAATCAGCATCATCATCGGCATCATCGTCGTCGTCCGAAACATCATCATGACCATACGCATCATCACTAGCATCACAGTCATTATCATCACCGTCATCAGCGGCATTATCATCTTGATCATCACAATCATATCGATCAGCACCACCACCAGCATCATCACCATCATCGGCATCAGCATCATAATCATCATCATCCTCATCAGCATCACCATCACCAAAATCATCACTAGCATCATCATCATCATCATCATCATCATCAACAGCATCATCATCACCCTCACCCTCACCCTCACCAGCACCATCATCATCATCATCATCATCATCATCATCATAATCTGTATTAGCATCTGCATCATCACCAGTAGCAGCATCATCGGCACCCCCGACGCACGCTCACACACTTACGCACTCATTCGCCAACGCCGTCACACACGCACTCGTGTTGGAGAAGTCACCAGCGGGAGCCTCGTCTTCGACTGAAATAACAACGAACTCTCTGGGGGGAGGCCCCTGGCTATGGCCCCCCCACCTCATGTTACTAATCCGCGGCGGCCATCGGCATGCCGATTCCAAAAATACATGTTTGTTATCAATGCGCCGCCAGAATTCCATTCCTAGACCTTACGTTGGTTCAGGTTGGAAGAAGTCTCAAGCGGGAGCCCTCTCCTTATGGGGCCCGCGCTTCACGTCACCAATCCGGCGTGGCCATCGGAATAGTGATACATAAAAACATACATTGTCTTGTGACCACCGAATTGCCAATACTCAGCTCCCAGACCCAGAACTGATTTCGAGTGGCCGGAGCCCACTTTTCCGAGTGACTGGAGCCATCTGATAAGCCACTTCGTGTTCTTCGAATTCTTAGACCTCAGCTCCCAGGCTTGATTTTGCATGCCCAGAACCAACTGTAAGCCACCTGGGGCTCTTCCTGCTCCCAGAACTCCGCTCCTGGTACTGATGTTGTACATCAGGGACCGACTGTACCATTTCGGACTCTCCTGCTTCCAGAACCTGGCCGGAGACCTCTGTAAGCCACTTCGGCCTTTCCTACTCACAGAACTCCAATACTGGGGCCGACTTTGCGTTCGCATCCTGGCATACTGGCGTGTTGACGCTCTGGCATAACTGGCGTCTCTGGTATCCCTGGCATCGAGGCACAGGCCCCGCAGGTCAAACAGAGCATCAAAGGTCCCATACACGCCGCAAGTCGCACACGCCCCACAGGTCGCACAGGCCCCACAGGTCTTAATGGTCCCACAGGTCGCACAGGTCGTACAGGTCTAACAAGACTCACAAATCCCATGCGCCTCACAGGCCCCACCGGTGGAATTGGTCCCACAGCTCCCACAGGTCGCACAAATCGCAAATGTTTCACAGGCCGCACAGGTCCCACAGGGCGCACGGGCCTCAAATGTTGCAAAATCTGCCCCCTGGTATTCTGGCATCCTGCCATGATGGTATCCAGGGCAGGCTGACCTCCTGGCATCATCACCATCGATAGGCGTCGATAATCACGCGCATGTGCACCAAAGATACTACCATACGGGGCCAAACCGTCAGAGTATTTCGCCAAACCGTGCTTGCACTTAGAGGTTCTTACTTCTCTTCTAAAGAACTGGCCCTGATTGTCGGTCTGGCGGCTCCTTGCTCCCCGTCGCCGCCACGTCGCCGCTTCGTCGCCACCCGTCGTCTGGGTCTGATTGCCGGTCTGGCGGCCACGTTGTCGCCGTCGCCGCTACGTCGCCGCATCGTCGCGGTTTTACATTATGTTGCATTTCCTTGCATGGCATTGCATTGCATAACTTTGCATTGCTTTGCGTGGCAGTTGCATTACGCTGCATTTCGTTGCATTGTGTTGCATTGCTTCGCATTGCAATGCTTCGCAGTGTCTTGCACTGCGTTGTGTTCCTTTGCGTTACGTTTTGTTGCAACGCATTGCTTTTCATTGTTTTGCGTTGCACAACATATACTGCACTAATAGCTTGCACCGCAGAGATGTTGCACAACATGAGGTGCACCACAAAGACTGCACGCCATGTATTGAACCACATACAATGCACAACATAGATTGCACCGCATATATCGCACCACATAAATTGCACCACACATATTGCACTACACTGTATTGCACCACGTAGATACAACAGCATATATCGCACCACTGGGGTTTCACCACGTCGTCTGCACCGCATGAATTGCGCACCACATAAATTGCACCACATCGGTTACACCACATAGGGTACACCACACATATCACACAATCTAGGCTGCACTATAAAGTTATACCCACTGCCGAAAAATTGATCCAGATCCTATCATTTCAGAAATCTGGGCCATCTTCACAAAAAGTATAAAGAAGCCTGGGCCTTTTTTCTGCTGTTAACGCTGGAGGGGAGGACGTGCCCAAGAAACTGGGCCAGCTTTCTGTCAAAGTTGGTTCAGCAATGCTGGCCCAGCTTTTTCGGGAGAAGGTTCTTAATCAGATGCTCGACTGTATGTGTGATGGAATGCACAAGTTAGACTGCACCACATGCATTCCACAAAATGCATTGCTTTACGTAGATTGCACACCATGTATGTGTATATATCTATATATATGAACTACTAGAACCGCACTGCAAGGGACCCACGCTAACGAACACGTTTTAGACTGTGATCCATCTTCGGAGACACAGAACTGGCACAAAGCAGCCCCGAACGTCTGTGGAACCGGCTTGTAGCAGGGTGCTAATATATATATATATATATATATATATATATATATATATATAGATGTGTATATATATATATATACACACATTGTCTGCAGCGGCTGTTCAAGTCCACGATGGCACCTCCTCGGGGCGCAGGCTCGCCGAGGCTCTGGTTCCAACAGCAGCAGGTAAAGCTTGGCACCCTCCCTCCGGCACCCTCGTCGCCGCCCATCGCGCCAGCCAGGTCGCGGTGACCGCCTTGCAGAGCGGAGCTGCGTCGAGCGGGGGTCAACTCGCCTCCCGCGGTCTTCCTGTCTGACCGTAAATTTTGGAGGATCCCTCCCAGAGATCCGACGTCTTGACGTTTCCCGTACGGGCCCCCCTGGAAGTACAGTAGGGGCCCGACCACAAGAAACCTTCCGCAAGAAACCCAACCCTGAGACCCCAGGGCGTCCAACGATTTTTGGCGTGGGAACGCCACGGCTTCCATGGCAAAACCATCGAAACCCCCAAAAAACAGGGCACCCTGGAGGCAAGCACGGTGTTTCTTGCCATGGGCCCCCACTGTACCGCACCCTTGCCCAAGGGCCGGCTCTTCATCCCGAGCAGTTCGCCGACGGCCCCGGAGCCCGAAACCAGCCCCTGGAGGCAAAACAATCTACAGTTTGGCCGCTTCGAAATGAGGGGCACCGTTGCAGGGGAACGAGAAATTACATAAACATAAAAGCTCGGAGGTCCGCGCGGATTTCTTGGATTCGCGCTGGACCTCCCTCCCCGGCGCACTCCGAGCGCCACGGGCGGCGCCGGAGGCGCCGCCAGGGGGCCCCAGCGCCGACCCAAGAAATCCGCGCGGACCTCCGAGTTTTTATGGTTATGCCATCGTTCGTTCCCCCTCGTTAGGGCCGGCGCAGGGGCGAAGCATCATCCTGGAATCGGCGATACACCGCCGACAGATCGGTGGCAGGCCCCCGATCACGTATGCGCATGCTCCTGGGCACGGTGGGGCTATCGGGCCCCTGGCGGCGATGAGCGGGCGAGGGTGGGCCTCGACACATCCCCCCCCCATGAGCAGATCCCACCCCCCTGCAGTGCGGGCGCGGCCGCAGGAAACCTTCGCAGGAAACCCCACCCTGAAAACCCGCGCGCGAGGTGAAAACCTGAGCATCTTGAACGCAGCAGCTTTTTCCAACGGTTGCGGGAAGTCACCGCGCAGCGCGCGGAGCGAAGAAACCCAGGGTACCCTCACAAAAAGAAGATGGTTTCTTGATGCGCGCCCCCACTGCAACGTCCCCCTGACGAAGACACTGGACGTGTGGGTAGTCGCCGTCATCGCAGCCGCCGCCGTCCCAGACATCCGGCCGCTTCAATTCGTTCGATGCGTGGGCCCTCGGGTTCTGGACTACTTCCCAGGGGCCAGTTTATCGTCCCGCGAGTCGTTTGCTTCGACGGCTCCGAGGCCCAGCGAGGACCCCCGGAGGCCGAAAAGGGCAAAAGACCGGCCGCTCCATTTTTTCTGGAGCGCCAGACCTCTTTGCTCCAGAGATCCGACGTCGTGACTTTTTCAATACGGACCCCCCGGAAGTCTCGACCCCTTCCCAGGAGCAGTCTTTCCTCCTGAATCGTGCTCTGACAGTCCCGGGGCCCAGCGGGGGGCCCTATAGAGGCCGAAAGCTGTGAAAAGCATGCGTCCCAAGTTTTCCCATACGTTGGATCCCTGGGCTCGTCTTACCTCGGGCATGTCCCTCTACAGCAGGAATACGGGGAGGGCACTGGACATCTATAAGGAACCATTGGATAAAGGAATCCAGGGTCTGGAAGACGGTGAACTCCAATTGCGGATTGACCATGAAACACCGCCGCCCCTCCTCAGATAAGGAACCCTCGACGCACCCACCGTATTCCAGGATCGTGCACAATTATCTGGGGACGCTGTTTCGTGCCCTCCTGCCTATTTCTGACCATGTTTTGGCTAGTCTGTTGTTTCTTCGAACATCCGCCTGTAGGAGGACATGCCCGACCTAAGTAGGCGGCGAGCCAGGGGGGGGAGTGAGAAGGGGCGTACCTTCTCGGAAGGCTCGGCAGTCCCCTGGACTTCTGCGAAGTTTTCTAAGCCTTTCCCGAAGACAGAAAGGACTTCCCAGAAGGCACGAGGGCTTCTGAGAAGTCCCGCCGCCTTCTGAAAAGGCCTTCTCCTTCTCCCTTCCCCCCCTCGCTCACCGCCGACGAAGGCTCGCGCCGCGCGAGGCCGCAAAAGCCCCCTGGCCTCGTGCTCCCGCAGGCGCGCGCCCCAGCCGCCCTCGCCGCCCGCCTCCTGCAGCAGGAGCCGCAGCTGCTCCCCGAGCCCGGAGACCTCGCGGCGTATAGGCACGCGCTCGCGGCGCGCTCGCAGGGCAGAGACGGCAGGCCCCCCCCGGGCGGGGGCTGCGAGGCCCGGAGCCCCTCGGGGCCTGAGAGAATCACGACGGGAGGTTTTTGCTCCTGCTCCTCCTCCTCCTTCCTCCTTCGTCCTCCCACCTCCGCCGCCTCCTCCTCCTCCTCCTCCTCCTCCTCCTCCTCCTCCTCCTCCTCCTCCTCCTCCTCCTCCTGTGAAGTTTTTCACCATCTTCGGCCACTGGGGCCCCTACTGGGCCTCGGGACCGTCAAGCAGCGACTCAGGCTGAAAAACCAGTCCCAGGGAATGGGTCCAGACCACTGGGGGTCGACGTCACGAAAAAATCATGACGTCTGGAGTATGAGACCCTGAGACCCTGACATTGCATTTTTTTCGCAACGGGCGTTTTCGCCCCGTTTCGGGCCCGCGCACCCTCACAGATCGATGCGGCTGGAAAGATGGCGCAGAAAGATGGGGTCCAGGGCTCGGGTCGTGATTTTTTAAGATGCTTCAATGTTTCGAGACGTCGGATCGCAGGGTAGGTTTTGCCATCGGCCCCTCTTCGAGGATCGACGAGAAACTCCGAACGTTTTCGGACGGTTATTGAGGGTTGTCGGCCATTTTCGGGACCCCGGAGATCTCCGGGGACCTCCAGGGACCTCTTGGGACTTCCAAGAACCTCCGGGGACCTTCGGGAGTCAGGATCGGGGGCGGGAGCAAAATTTACCAGGCCTGGGGTTGGAAGATCGCGCTGCATCCCTGATACATCGGCACTGCGGTTCGATGTGGAGCCCAATTTTCTCCGCGCCAACGTCGCCGACGCATCGCCGATGCACCGCCGACGGGGAATCCTAGACTGCGCAGAGACTGCCTGAATCTCCCTCATCCTCCCCTAGTTCCTCCTCCTCCTTCTCCTCCTCCTCCTTCTCCTCCTCCTCCTCCTCCTCCCTTAGCTCCTCCTCCTCCTCCTCCTCCTCCTCCTCCTCCTCCTCCTCCTCCTCCTCCTCCTCCTCCTCCTCCGCCTCCTCCTGCGCCTCCTCCTCCTCCTCCTCCTCCTCCTCCTCCTCCTCCTCCTCCTCCTCCTCCTCCTCCCCTTGTTCCTCCTCATCCTACTCCTCCTCCTCCAGCGCCCCCCTCAGGACGAACCTGAGGAGCCGTTCGCCCCAGGCAGCCCCCGAGGCACAAAGTTTCGGGGCTCGCATCCATGTTCCCCGAGGGGTCTCTCAAGTGGTCTAGGCACAGACTAAGACCCCCAACGGCCCTGTCCCTCCGCCTTCGCCTCCTGCGCCGCCCCCTCGCCCACCTTCCCCTTCCTCTCCCACTCCCCCATTCATCCCCTCTTCCTGCTCCCTCTCGTCCTCATGATCCTCGTCTCCTTGCTCCTCCCTTCTTCCTGGCTTCTTCCTCCCTCTTCCCCTCCTCCCAGGAGGGGGAGTGAGGAGGGAGGGAGGAGGAGAAGGAAGATGAGGGTTTCGGGTGGAGTCAGGGCTTCTGGGATGTTCCAGGATTCCAATGGCCTTCTGGGAGGGGGGGGGTATGGGGGGACTCTGAAATTCTAAGGGCATCTGGAGAGATGGGATGTTCTGAGGGGCTCTAGAGAGGAGGTTCGCGAATGCGTGGGGGGCCTCCAAAGCGCTTCTCGTCGCCACGGCTGGATTCCCGCTTGAAGCTCACGCCTCCCAGGACAGGTCCAGGCGCCGATTGGAAGGCGGACCGCAGCCTCCTGGCGACTCGGGACACGCTTCGCAGCGGAGGCTCTTCGTTCACTTCTCACCCTCGGATGCCGCTCCAAGGCCCCAGGACAACCAGTTATGGGGAGACCAAAAGGCACCGATACCACTACTCCCCAGACCTCTCCTGGGGGACGTTCTTACCATGATCTCGAGGCGAGTCCAGCGGTGGTGACGAGGACCGCCCAGGAGGCCCGAACAGGGGAAAACGGGGGCAGGGTAGGGGCATGGGTACCTCTGGCCTCCTCTGAAGTTAGGATGACCCAGGGTACTTTTTCTTAGCCTGCGGCCCCAGGAGGGCCAGACGGCGGTCGAACGGCGGCAGGGCGCGCGCCGGAGAGCACAACGAAAAGCGCACGGAAAAAGAAAGGGAAGGCGCGAGGCGCGAGGCGGCCGGAGTGGCCGAGGGGGGCGCGAGGGCGACGCACACACGTTCCGGCCATGCAAGTCTGCACGTGCGCGCCGAGGTGCGTGTCCTTGGAGTGCGAGCGAGGCTCGGGGTCCAGGTGGAGGCCAGTGCACAAGAGACCACCCACAAAGCACCCAACCCTGAGACCCCAGGGCGTCCATGGATCTATGGTGTGGGAACGTCACGCTTCCCATCGCAAGACCATCGAGACCCAGAAAGCCCAGAACACCCTGGAGGCAAGCAGGGTGTCTCTTGGCACGGGCCTCCACTGCAAGTCTGTACGTGCGCGCCGAGGTTTTGGGTCGATCCAAAAGCGGGTCCAGCTGAAAGGGGGTGGTGCAATAGATTTGGGGCAATTGTGTTGCAAATGTATTGCGTCGGAGAATTGGATTGCACATTGTATTGCAAGTAACGCGTTGCACGCGAAAATGCAGCAATACATCTGCGACCCGAAATATACTGCACGCCTCAAATGCACTGCAACCCCACCAACCTATTGCACCAAATATGGTGCACCACCTCCTTGTCGCTGGACCCCCTTGTGGGTCAACCCGAGAGGTGCGTGCCCAGGAGGCGCGAGGCTCGGGGGGCGGAGCCGGTCCGGGTGCTGCGCCGGCGGGCACGCAGGAGAGGCCGAGCCTGGACGGAGGAGGCCCACAGGGAGACCGAGCACTATACGCCTGGACGCACTCCGCGTGGATTTCGCGCGGCGTATCAGGGTGGGCCAAGTCCAGACGAAGAAACACTGGCCATCGCTCGGACGTCCATTCCCTGTGTTTTTGTCCCGTTTCGTGCGTGGCTTTTTCGCCAAATGATCAAAGATGCTTCTCGATGGTCCTCGTCGAAGGAAAAATGCACACGTTCGAGCGATGCCAAGAACAGACCAGACGTGGGGAAAACCAGAAGGTACTGATACCGCCACTCCCCGGACCTCTCCCAGGGTGCGCTCGGACAGGAATTGCGAGGCGAATCCGGCGGTGGCGACGATGGCCTCCCAGGAGGCCCATAAAGAGGAAAAGGATGGAAGGGTGGCGGTATGGGTACCTTCGCCCCCCTCTGAAGACGGAGACCGAGCGCTCCGTATGGACTCACTCCGCATGGAATTAGTAGCTTCTCCTGAGCCACGGGTCGGGGATCGACTGACCCGGGTCAATCCAAACCTGGGTCAGTCGGGCTCTGCAGGATCCGCAAGACCTTGCACGATCCTGCACCCAAGCCCGAGTCAATGCAACCCTGGCCCTGCAAGATCCTGCAAGATCCGGCCCTCTGACTTGAGCAGGCATCGACCGCCCCGGCATTCCAATAGGTCTACCACGACATGGTCTTCGAAACCCCCCAAAAACGCTCTACAAACAAAAGCAATGGTCTATAGAACATGAGCCCGATGTGTAAAAGCACAACAGCTTCGGCCAGAAATGCTCAAACAACATTTCGTGCAGGCAGCAAAATGTTCTTAGAACCTTCTCTGGTGGGCGTATAGAGAAGCCAGGCAGGACCCTTCGTCACTGCTCGACCGTTTGCACCGACTCCCCGACTCTGGAGCCCCGACGTCGTGATCTTGTGCGCCACGTCGACCCCCAGCGGCCTGGACCCCTTCCCCGGGACCGGGCCTCTCGTCCCGAGTCGTTTCTGTTCTTGGCCCCGCGGGCCCCCCTCCAGAACCCCGAAATATGTGTATATAGTATATATAAAGCTACGGAGCAAAAAAAAACCTCCCGTCGTGATTCTCTCTCCCGCTGGAAATTATTCCACACAGCGAAGGGGTCCGGGCCTCTGACGGACCCCCGCCTGCACTGACCCCCCGCCTCTGGAGCCCCCACACACAGCGCCCGCGCTCATCGCACCGTCCCGGGGGCGCCGGCCCGCACGCCGCCGTCGCCGATGCACCGCCGACGCATCGCCGAGGCATCGCCGATGCATCACGGACACGTCGGCCATGCACTGGCGATGCGGCGCGATGCTTCGAGCACAACTATACTCGGACCCCCTCTGGGAGGCCTCTAGACCCAGACCCCCGACGTCATGGATTCCTCGTGGCGTGGATCCCCAGCGGTCTGGACCCCCTCCCCAGGACCAGTTCTTCATCCCGAGTCGTTTCTTGACGGTCCCAAAATCATGAAAAATCGCCCGTCGCGTTTTTTCCACGCCGCGAGGGGGTCAGTTGAGCAGGGACCGACCGCCCCGGCATTCCTATAGAAATGGTCTTAGAACCCGAAAATGTTCTAATAACAAAAACAAAGTTCTTGGAACATAAGCCCGATGTGTAAAAAAACAAGACGGTCTCGGCCAGAAACGTTATGAGAGCATTTCGCGCAGACCACAAAAGGCTCTTAGAACACTCCTTGGCAGGCCTGTCGGCGAGCTGGGACGCTTCGCCACTGCTTGAGTCTCGAGTCAGGTCGGGCACGTCCTCCTACAGGGGGATCCTGGACGTAAAATGAAAACTAGAATAAATGCCCCAAGATGGTCAGACATTGTAGAAAATTCGTCCCCAGACTATTCTGTGACTATTTTTGAATATTCCTCGTGTGGAGGGACACGCCCGACCTAAGCTTAAGTCGGGCCTGTCCTCCTACAGGGAGATTTTGGACGAAAAATTAAGAATACTCCAAAAATGCCCCCAAAGGGCCAAAAGATGCTCCAAAAATCGTCCCCAGACTCTTCTTTGACAATGTTGGTAATCATCTTCCTCCTGCAGAGGGACAGGCCCGACTTAAACCCAAGCCTGGGGCCACGGGGCCCGCTCTCACCGCCCTGGCCCGAGGCCCGCGGGCCTCCACCCCCCGCGGGGGGTGGAGACCCAACCAGAAGTACCTTCCTGCCAACGCGGGCCACTGCCGGCGGC